ATCGTGGATCTTGTGTCGAAATGATCGAGATTGCAAGAAGCGATTCAAGTACAGATTGCCGTCTGACATTATATTCGGCTGGCATTCGCGAGATTGTGTTACGGCCGCTTCAGTGACACGAGACATTATTGTGCGGGCATTCGGACGGTTGCAAAATAAAATGAAGAAAGCCCGACGGGGCCTCCTGAAGATAGACTGACGTAAGATTTTGAGACCTGTCTTCATTCGTCTTTACGTGCCTTACTGCTCTCTGTCTCTCGTTCTCTCCTTACTTCTCGCTCCTACTTCTTTATTTACACGTATACGTGAGCGCATGCAAATAAAGGTGCACCTGCGTGCACACACACACACACACACACTCCTCCTCGTACATTTAGCGCAAGCAATCGGAGTAATCTAAACGCTATGCAAAAAGTTATCCTGTGTGCCGTAGCAAGCGAGCGTTTTTTGCAAGTTGTGCGGTTTTCGCAATTTCGGCGCGCAGACTCTTCTATGCTCGAAATTAACAAACTTGCTTCGCTTCTTTCTCTCCTCTCCGTGTAAACGCAGGATCCGATTTAATGCGTCATTTGCGCACAGTCTATAATACCACGTTCCACGTATGTGACTAATCGGTCATGTGCGATGGTGAAGTTAATGACACGTAAATGTTATTATAGATAAAATATAGGTTTTTATATGTTTCGTAAGTACTTTGTGTCTTCCGACTGTGATAAAGGTGTGAAATGATTATTTAAAATTATATAGCAGAAACAAGCTATATCGTCGAGTTCAAAACAATATTCGTCTAAACAATAAAATGTACTAATTGGTCTAATTTCAATTTTTAGTTCGATGTGATAGAATTTGACTTGGTGCAATTGAGTCGAACTGGTAGAATGATCGATACGTTATAAAATTGGTCTGCAATGACTGTTCACTTTTATATCTTTTTACAATATAATCATTTTAGAAAATGTCACCTATAATATAGAATATATTGAGAATAACAATTAAAACAATGGTATGTTAGAAACTATATTAGAGAGAAACCACGATTGTGATCTACATTGTCTTATACCATTCGACCTTCGTCGAGTGCGATAAACGAACTTCTAGTTTTTGCTTTTCGAGATTACGACGCAGCTATATGCCCGAGAAGTAGCCACGTATTTTCCTTCAGATTTGAACGGGCACGTAAGACATTGATTTTTAATTACACCGATCGTATCATATAGCTCTTTGCCATTGACAAAGCGACCGTCGGGCAGCGTGCACAGGTCATTGCTTTCTCTCTGTTCGCTTTTCGACAAACAAAGACCGGGTCAACAGTACGCGCACTTTGTAAACGTTCCTTTTTCTTTAAACAAACCGCTCGTTCTCTCGCGAGCGATAACGATACTTGCAGCACACACATATACACGTACACGCGATCACATTCAGAAGTGCTAAGTGCAGTCATTCCACGTGGTAACAAGTCATCGCGTATGTGGTTCAAACTTACTTATTAGCATTATTTATAAATCGTTAATGAAAATACGCGATGATTTTTGCTACACAAAGTTTTTGTTTAATTAACATCAGACCTTGTTATTCGGGCTATTTATAAGTAACACGATAAATCTGAGAAATAGGTTCGCACGGTAGTTTACGTTCTGTGATATTTGCATATCGCATTATCACATTGTCTGCATGTGTGCGGGATAATGTTAGAAAGTAAAAAAGTAATGATATAACGTAGCAAGATCAGTGTGTTATAGCTGTTAATAATCGCGAATATAATATTATGCACTCAAGGAATGAACAGATAAACTATCTCAAGAAGCAGTAAATGATCCGCGTCAACTCTTTTTAGCGTGGATATAGGGGATACTTCAGAAACTGCGATAAACTTCCTGTTGATCACACCGAGGAAACTTGATAGATACTGTATTGGAAATGATGTTTGTGTCCAATCCGGGTGCGATCAAGTGTGACGTTTAATTCAAATAGCAACACGGATATGATATTATATAACTGTTATGAATAAACATCATTTTTACCGGTACCGACATTTTCACGTACGATTTAAAAATTGTTGTGTAATTGTATGATATACGAATATGATGCTTGCTGAAAGACAAATATATTCAACCTTCTCTTCTTCTTCGCCTTGATAATATTTCGTTATTTAACTATTGACTTATTTGCCGATAATCAATTATTAATCACGTAATCCCCGATGATAAATTTTCACACACATATATTCAGAGATTCGTACATGTATTCTGCCCCATTAGTTAATCCTCCCCGTGAAGTATCGATATGTGCAGAGCAAATTAAAAAAGCGGCTCACCTTGAGTCGAAATCGAGAAATATTTTATTGTCTCATGTGGTTCGTCATCGTTCGGTTCTTAAATATTTGCACACGTAACGACTTAATGGTACTCTTATAAATAGCGTACGTGACACTGACGGTATTTATCTTCGGCAGAGAATGTTAAATTGCCACTTTACGCGCACACACAACACTGTAGTCTCATAGCACAACAATATTAACGCGAAACATTCCTACGTGAATATGATGGGAATCGTTGCTTAAAGTCGATTACTTCACTGTTACTTTCATACAAAATGCTTGATTAATCGGCGACCAAAAACAGACGAGAATAATCGGCAACTCCTTTGTGCCTTGTGAATAATACATTAATCGTCAATGAGAGATGAGAGAAACGAGAAATCTCTCGTGATATTTTCAGACTCTCCGAGTTTTCTCGGAATGACTTTGGCTCGCCACAAAGATGCATTTTATTGCCAGGAAGAATGCATTTTATTTATACCTGACTTGTAAATTCTCGAGTAAACTCTTTTTTTCTCTAGTTCGTTGGAATCCGTGATGAATTATGCAATATGATTTTTAAGTCGACGGGCATATCGCTCTGTCATTCTGTTGTGCAGAATCTATTGTTTTGCCAGTCGTACGGTTCGTTACGTGAGAAATTATATGCGGAGCCTCGCGGGTCAACAATACGTTAACGTGCTCGTTGTTTTTTCTCCGTGCTTAAGCGATAGTAGTGCTATTGGTAGGCAGGTAGGTGAGTAGGTAATAAGATTAAACCTACCTGCTCAAGGCAACCGCGATTGCTGAAGTACCGCTCAGGAATTGCGTATGATTTTGAAACGAACACAACATTTCTCCCCGCTAGTGAAATCGAGACACGATATAAAACGAAGAGGTCAAAATATACGACCCTTGACCCTAATAAGACAATCGAGTTCCCCGCTACGCTATATGTGGATTACGTAGGTGTCGTTTGCGGCGTGTGCCAACTTGCTTAGATATCAGCGTATCTTTCTCTTTGGTCTTGTAAATAAATCTCTTGTTTCAATACGCTCGTATAAATGTGAAATGCTTCTCAGATTTCGAGATTAAAAAAATTGCGTCTGGTCCTGTAAAACGACTTGTTCCAGCTGTACATGTTTTAGTTCGCAATGGATGGAACGAATGCTTCTCGAATATCATAAATAGAGTAACCAAACTGCGTCATTCGGACGAAGCTTTATCGAAGTTGAAATCTAAGTTAATCATTCCGAGCAAGCGAATGTTTTGGGCCGTTTGTGTGATACGCGAGTAGCAAACAAATATTTTATCGTCGATATTTTACATTTCATACTAGTCGCATAAGGCATTTCCTCATAAATATCTCTTATAAAAAGCATTTTTTTTCTATATAATGCGTTATAATCTGATTTAATTATGTATTGATATATTTAAAATACTTCAAGGGAGAAATGCCGAATATTAATTACTTATTTCGGTGCTTTCTTATCGGTTAATATGCATAATCAAACATATACAATGATAGTTTACTGACGTTAAAGCCTACTAAAAAATAGAATAAGTAAAAGTCCAATCTCGGATCTATCCTTCTCTAATTAATACGGACGCAGATCTCATGCGCATTTAGTTCATGACAAAAATGTTCATTTTTGATTGTTTCTCTTATTATTGGTTTATATTTTGAAATACCTGATAACCGAGATGCATTACCGAGTTTGAAGTGATGAGATAATTTAGTTTCCTAAGTTTCTTAAAAAAATCTCGTCAATCGGTTTTCCGGCTTTGCGTTTATTTATGAATCATACGAGAACTGAACAAATTGATACTACACGCGGGCGTGATGACTTATTTGTCATGGACTTTGACCCGCTCTTTTTTCCCAATATCTCGTGTTATGCATTACTAACATGTACAATATTAGCAGCTGATGTCACTCGAAGCGGATATAATGCTCGTGCAGTTTTGCTATGACGGTTAATCACCAATTACGGACTTAATTTTCGTTTAACAAAAAAATTGTTTAATGTCAATTAATCGTCAAGCGCTTGTCGAACGTTATCGAAGAACACAACGTTAATAATTAATTATTAATCACTAAATAACGCATAAGCAAATTTATCCAATGACTCTACAATATCCATGGAATATTCTACGTGTCCATTCTAATCCATTGATACATATCTCATCAAGTGATAATAATAAAATAAATAAATGTTTCGTTTCCAACTGTTATTGTACTGTTGTACGCACACGTTTGCCTATTTCTTTTCAATAATTAGCATTCGTTAAAATATAATCGGCGCATATTCCCTTCCCATAAATATTATACATAGTTTTAAAGTCTCGAGAAAAAAACGTTCTTTTTTCCAATTTTTCCGCGAATTTCTTCGGTTTATGTTCCAAGGATACAAAAATTCGTTTAGAAAAAATCATATGTGTTCAGTTGAAACCTATCACATTTATTTATTTTTTTTTTGTAAAGAAGATAAGAAAAAAACCACTGAAAAATGGGAAAAAACGAGTTTTTTCCGAAATTTTAAAATTATAATAATATTATATATTTCACTAAAAACGTATCTCCAATATAAAGATAAAATTAAATTTAAGTCTTTTCAAGAGAGTCGCGAGAATTACGTAATGAGTGAGAAATTCCCCCTTAATTTTCACACAAATGGATTTAACAGCCTCGTCCTACTTTCAGATGTGAAGACGATCCTCAAATCCGTCAGCGGCAGGCTGAAGTCTGGCGAATTGACGGCTATTATGGGCCCTTCAGGCGCCGGAAAGTCTACGCTGCTGAACATCCTCACCGGATACAAGTGAGTCAACGTGCTTATGGAATTGGTACACTTTGCGATATCGTTATCGCTCGCTGCTAATAAAAGAATAATGGCGCAATAAAAGAGAAACATGTGCAGTCTCTCATACACACGCTCATATTTGGATAAAACACGAAACCGCATAAATTAATCGCGAGGGAAAGACGCGTGCAACCATCTTCATTCCTGTTACGTTTTATGACTCTCTTAAGTGTCTTCGCGTACATTATTGTTTTAACTGCATTTCCACCTTGTTAAAAGGTTCGCGTCATCGGAAGATAAAAATGACAACTTAACCGTGTTATTCCATGAGTGGCATTTCTTCATGTCTGTGAATACGGGGACGAAAACGGAATTATACTCGACGTGTTGGCGGTTCGTTGAAATTCTACATGCTTTCGTCGGTATTCACGTCGAATTATGAAAATGCCAAACAGCAGGTAACTATTGCGAGAAACCTACGGCTGTCGCTCATGCGTCGACAAAGGCACACATTGGGAAAGCGGTGGGCAAAAAAAAAGTTGCGCGCGAAACTTTCGTCCGTGCGTTTTCTTTCCTTCCCCATAATAAAAATGAAAACGCGATTCTCAAGGCTCGCGACGCTTTCCTAGACTTGAGACCTCACACAGTTATTGCCGGCGCGTCATGGGCACGCGACCACGAGGAGATTTCGTCCGCATGATCTGTCATGACCTCAACGCACTTTCAGTTTTTATCGGTCCGTTTCGCTTTCTTTGCCATATTGCGATCTCACTTTCTTCCAAGAGACACAGTCTCGCTTTCTTCGTGTTTCGACATTACGAAACCACCTTATAGCAGGAACGCTGGTCGTGAGTAGCCAGATGAAGGTTAAGACGATAAAGAGAACGTCCTCATGTGAAAGTAAAAATTCGCATCTGCACCGCGTCTGTTATCGTAGTCACGTGCAATTTAGCTACACGTATTATCGATGCGGAAGTGGGAGAATTAGGGGGTTACTTCAAGGGATAGTAAGGATACTCCTTTGGTTTTAACCGAATATAGAAAATGTTACGGGCTTTTAGGACGCACGAAGCACGGATAATTTAGTGTCATCGAAATATTAATATTAATATTTTTAATATTGTTTAATATTTTTTTAATATTTAAATAAACTTTTTTAATATTTTTTAACATTAATATGATTGTGGCGGGATAAAGTGTTCGGCATGTCAGACGCACGTGTCGGATTTTTCTCCGACCAAACGTACGTTTAGTCGAGTTCAGTCATCGAGAGAAGTCCCCTGAAGTCCAGGATCCTGGTGGAGGCATATTTTTCGCAACATTTAATAGGGATCGTTAGTAAAGAGTTAATTGATAATATAATGAAGTAAAGAATTTCCGGGGAATATGTATGTTAAATACTGAGACTCAGGGTCGGTTTAAGAAAGGTTAATTCGCTGCATACGTTTGGTCGAAGAAAAATTCGGCACGTGTGTTGGACACTTTATCCTCCCATAATCGTATTAATATTAAAAAGAGTAATATTAATATTTCAATGGTATTGAAACATTTGTTTCGTCCCTGTAATACTTTCTATATTGGGATTACTTCAAGTTGAATTGTCGTTCCGTAAACTCGCGATGTAGACTTTCTACTTCGACGTGCTATTCTCGATCGGTTGACTGCCTCGAAACGTTCTGCTCGACGAAACAGTCCGTAATCAAGTTTCTTCGTTCAAGCATCTCGAAAGAATCATAATTGCGCATTATCGAGGAAATAAGACTTCGAAAATGATTCTATATAAAATTGTATGTTTTCCGGTCGAAACAGCGCATCTCTTTTACGATATTTAACGGTTCTTTTACGGTAATTTTACGGTAATTTAACGGCTCTTTACGGTAATTATGACAGCAAAATAAAATAGTCGACATCATTGTTCTTCGCGAGTTCTTTCCCGGTCTCGTTGCCTGAGAAGTAGCCGCTGTTTATATCCACGAACAATTCGTTCGATATTTCCTTCGTCGTAGATCTGTTGTTCTGCATTCAACATTGTACATTCGGCATTCGTCTTTCATTTGGACGCATATCGGAGAGACCAGCTGGTGCCAAGACGCACTCTCGTTCCCGCTCCATTTTGCGGAGATTGTAAAGCTGGCAGCGTCAAGAGATCAGCGCGATGTGACTCATTCTCACATTCATTCTTGTGTCCGTCTTTAAATCATACAAGGCGTATAAATATCGTTTCGCAGCGAGGAACGATCGCCCTCAGGCTGCATCCCGAACCGGTTTTTGACAGTTTAACTTTTTAATTGATGTGCAAATCTGACCGCTCGTCGGCCGGTATAATAGCCCGATAGCTTTTCATCAGCACAACCCACGGTGTCGCAAGTAACAATTTTTGTAATCACAGGCAGTAAATTGGCCATTTCGTAGCACTCGAGTTTTGACATCGAATCCCGCTTGAAATGAACATTCTACAGATAATTCGGCGACGAGAGAGGCGTGAATGCAGCGATTTCCGACCATGTCGTATCGTGCGATTATCGCGTTCCGAAGTCCACGAGTTTAGTTCTTTAATTGCCCGGCGCTGACACGATTCTAGGGCACTGACCTGCGCGACGCGATGTGACCTGTCATGTACATACATTGTAAAAGTTGTCGCGTTTTACTCTTCTCTATCCCATCGCGTTTTCCAAACCGGTTTTACGGCTAATCACGGTGTGCGCTGCGTTGCGCTGTACCGCGGTACTCATCCACATTCGCGAACGCGCTCGCGAACAGTTTCTGACATTGAATTATTCACATGTCGAGAAATTTATATGTTATTAATGATCTTTCCGTTCCATTGAAAAACCACGACTCGATGTCCACATGATCGATTACAATTCAGTTCTTTAACGATTTCCTATTCGCCTTAATATGAGAAGTATCTTTCAGTTTGGATAAATTATAAAAATGAAAGATTTTGTAAATCAATTTTATAATGCAATATCTGCTCGAACGGTCTCTATTAATAGTTTCTATTTAAAACCCGTCTCATGAGAGAGATATGTAAATTTTTAATTCGGAAGAATTAGATCTGAATTTTTCAGATGAATCTTATAATATTTTTGACTTTGTAAGCCGCTATTCAACGGAAAAACTCATATCTAATTCTGAGTCCAATCTGAGCTCTCGTTTGAGATAAATTTTAAGTAACAACTATCAATATGGGTCTATAAGATACTTCTACGAGTTATTCATCAGAAATCCTTATTAGGACATCAGGCATGGAAGGCTTGATCACGATAAATGGCCACGAAAGAGACCTCAGTGCCTTCAGGAAGCTTTCCTGCTACATCATGCAGGATAATCAACTTCATGCGAATCTAACGGTGACGGAAGCCATGAAGGTTGCGGCGAGTCTTAAGCTTGGTTCACACATGGACAAAGCAGAGAAAGAAGAAGTGGTGAGCAGACTTTCTTATCAGACTAGTTGGTTTTAAAAGATCTGAATGAACATCAAAATGTAACGACGGTGCACTGTTGTTTCGTGCGTTCCGAGTGTTTTCACGTATTTTCGCGATGTTGCCATGTCTTATCTATTTGTCATCAAAAAGAACACTCCATTTCATTGCAGAGTTAATTACCGCTTGTATTGCGATATTACGTGCATGAGGAATAGTTAAAATGCGCAATTTTCCTTTCTTCTATTCTTACAGCACGATGCACTCGTACGTCTCTTCTTTCCCAATTAACGTCATATACTAACTTCTAATTACCGAGTATTATATAACATTTGCATTGTTGAATGCAAAATTACAACATAGATAATAACAGATGTAATATAGCTGATCCTCGGTGTTGATTGGATTGCTAACGAGTAGAAATCAACATCAATATGTGTATGTCGAAATTAGAAATGTCGAATCCAGATTTTGTTGCTCTTCTTGAAATCCGGATATCCGTATCAAATACCTGGCCAGATAGAATCCGTTCATAAATCTGAAGACAAATATCCGAATACGGAAATAATATATATCACCGTATAATAAATATTCGCAGATAACGGATATCCGCGGTTAAAGAATGTCTGCAGATAATGGGTAGTCTGAGGATAACCACTTTCGAAATCGACAATTAATTCTTTCTTTGTCTCATACGTTTTACTTAAACGCCCATATGTATATAAGCATATGTTCATATATGTATATATTCGAATATGCGTTTCTGGAATTCGGAAATCCAGATTATTAAATATTCGAATGGGCCGATTGTCTTACTACGAAACCTGTAATTTTATATCGCTAATGATTCATTGGCATTTTCTTCTTCAGATCCAAGAAATCCTTGAAACTCTCGGCCTGTCTGAGCACCGTCGTACCATGACCTCGAACCTGAGTGGTGGTCAGAAGAAGAGGCTCTCCATCGCCCTCGAGTTAGTCAACAACCCCCCTATAATGTTTTTCGACGAGCCAACTAGGTAAGTTTTGTATTTTACACGAGACAGCAATCGAAAATTATTATCATCGCATTCGTAAATTATCTGTGAATTGATTTCACGATTCTGATATATTGACAGTTATTGCGATGTTGAAATAAAGATAGGATGTTATGATTTCAGTTTTTTATTGTTAATATTAACGGAACCTTCGTGAATTGAATCGATTTCTCAATGTAATAAATAGCGCAATCGTATATTACGACCTGCTTAAAATGATTATTGTGGGGAATATAAAAGGCTTAATGATTATTTTGTGATATATAAATGTAGAGGGATATTAAAAGATGGAAGCAAGATACACACATACAAGAGTGTTTAGCTCTTGTATTCTTTGTTTAGCTTGATGTCTTTTATATCCCACCTGTTTGGGATATACGGTATTTTTAGCGTGCAGGATTTATGCTATAATACAGACGTTCTATAAGGAAGCATTTCGAGTTTAGTTTATACAGTAAATGTCGCAAATGTTATTGCATTAACGTCTGTAAGATAGAGAATTTTTATTTATGTTAAAAATTTATAAATTACTATTACTTTTCGCATATTTCTTTCTCATTCTTATATCCTAATTAACTTTTTACACATTTTATTTACTGTATTTTACATTTTATTTATAAGTGTTATTTATACATTTTTTATAAGCCCATCCATGAATGGTCGTATATTCTACTTCTATAGGATATGTGGCAAAAAATACAAGGCTTTCTAAAAATAAAAGTTTTTCTGTTAAATATAAAAAGCAAATATTCCGCATTTCTAATTTTGTTTTATAGTAGTAGACAATATAGTTTTTATTTATATAATTCATTTGCCTTAAACAATAAATAATACTTGATAAATTAAGTTTTCTTTAGATGCGGTGTATATGCTGGGAGGAGTTAACCCTAAGTCATTTTATTGCCACTCGCTTGTGTATAATAATTTTTTGACTTTGTGATAAACGAGATTTTGTGAATTGAACAAGATATTATTAATGATAAAATATTACCAATGACAAAGGAATAAAAATCGGAGAAACGTTTCTAAGCATATCGTAAAATATTTTTACGTATACTATTATAAAAACCTCGGTAAGAAGATAACTCAAGCGATATCAGCGATACCTCTCGCTTTCACTAATTGACGTTCGTGAAAGAAATCTTATCCTGTTTTTATGTAAATTCCTCGATCGAATGTCAGCACGGCCAATGTCAGCGGAATGAACTTGCCGTCCTTGTCAGGTCCGCGGAAATAGGCGAATTTTGCAGGTTTTAATCATCGTCACGCGTCTCGCACAGAGTTTCTCCGTGTAACTTTCATCAGTGTCTATTACGTGCTGGACTTGTGGCTTTATGAAATCAATATTGTGATACAATTAACCGGCTAAGCAGCAGCCTCGTGTCTTAAAAGTTTACGTTCACCCGCGTCATTACACAAAATTAACCAAGAATAGTTCGGATTACTCAGACGATTGAACTTTGTTTTCTCGATCGTATTGAAATATATAACCAATTCGTATTTTTTTTCAACGCACATTGTATCGGAAACACTGATTTGACATTTGACTTTGAGGAAATTGGATGCAAAAGCCCCGAAATGTCTGGGAGGACATTTCACTTCTCAGACGAAGCATAAGAGATCACACATAATAGTCGGTGAAAGTAAATGATGAATGTCCCGTTTTTGAGACTTTTTTTTCCTCGCCAGACACTTTCACTAAAACACAGTACGTTGGAGTTTTTGCGTTCTATGGACGCGTTCAAAGTACTATTGCTACAGGTTGCACTATGATCCTTCGACGCGACAATCTTAATAGATGATCTCATCTCTGACTGGTTTTTCTCTCACGGAAAGCGACGCGAAAAATTCCATATTGGCGTCACAAAGCGTGTTCAGTATTGGCAATCGGCACCTCGACATATGATATCAAACGTTTCCGCCAGACATTTTCTTGTTCCCGACCGGTTCTTGATTCGCTCTGAAAGGTTATCAATCGTAAATTGTTCCTGTACATAGTACATAGTACATAGTAAGATACAACAGCAAAAATAAACCGGTCCTTTCAAGGTCTGTCAAGTACCTGCTGCAACGGGAACCTGGTGCGACGGGAATTTGCTCCTAAAAAGAAAACACCGGCCGGTTTTTATCTTATTGCCGGCGATGCCCGGGGCCTTTTAGTTCAAACTTTCCATTGTATATTTATTTCACGGTTATCAAGTGCAGATAAGAGAAATGTTCGCCAACCTAATACTTTCCGCAAGATCATAGAGAAATCATGCGAAACTATGACACAACCACATCTTTGCAACGTATGCTCCGTCAGTTTTTTTCGTTTTCCTGCCGTCTGAACACAAATGTTATTTTCCTCTTCGTTTCACGCGATCGCAAACGCGTCAAGGCTAACGGAAGAAGAAATGCGAAGAAATTTGAGCACGGAGGTGCGGCGATACTGATTGGTATTATCCGATTGTTTACAGCGGCCTGGACTCCTCGTCTTGCTTCCAATGCATCTCGTTATTGAAGACTCTTGCACGTGGCGGCAGAACGATAGTCTGTACCATTCATCAACCGAGTGCGAGACTCTTCGAGATGTTCGATTCTCTTTACACTTTGGCCGAGGGTCAATGCGTCTATCAGGGCTCCACGTCGCAACTGGTGCCGTTCTTAAGGGCAATTGGCCTTAATTGTCCGAGCTACCATAACCCGGCGTCATTTAGTGAGTTTCGTCAAATGAGAATAGTTCTCTTTAATATCAGTATCTGTAATAATGTATCTTGCGTGCTACGACGAAAAATGTCAGACGAGACAATATTATATGAATATTTTTCTTCCTATTGAGAGATATAAAATAATCAAATCTGACAAATTTGTCGCAATTGAAATATTGTATTCGCAATAAACTCAAGTATTTTCGTCGTTGCTGTCGTTGCAATCACGATTCTGCTTCTCAGTCATCGAAGTCTCATGTGGCGAGTACGGCGACAATATCAAGAATCTGGTGAACGCTATAAACAACGGCAAATACAATATACGGGAGGGACACCCGTTTCCCGAATTGAAGGATGGAATGAACAATTGCACCACCGCGACCGGTATCCTGAAGAGCGTCGACGGCATGGAGAAGGGTATGATAAAAGATAAGAACGACGTGAGCAACCTGGAGGAGAAGTATCCGGAAAACAAGTCGAGCGAAATTAGCAATGGGAAGCTTATTTCTAGCTACGCCACAAATGACATCGCTAAACAAGGTACAAGAGTCAAAAGTGTTGCGTCTCCGTAACGGTGACGCAACCGACGATACGTCTCAAGCTGCTCGAAGCATACGTGTACCATTTTCTCGCGGCGTGTGACGCAATTGTCACAGCTCACGCCTTGTTCTATTTTACTCAAGCGACACCTATTTCGTACAATGCTTCTGTAGTAAAACTATTTTATCGTACGCAACTCATGTCGCGTGACACACGAGATATTCGCANTTCGCAAAAAAGCCTATAATAATTTAACAGCGAAGGAACTAACGCACGATTAACATTTAGCGATGGACGTCGCGATACCGGTTGACGCGGACAAGAAGGAAAACGCCAACGTGGCATTGCTCGAGGACTCCATCGCGGTGGCGCCGGAGAGATATCCTACTTCGGAATGGATGCAGTTCTACATCATCCTGAGTCGTGCTTTGCTCTTCAGTCGCAGAGATTGGGTGGGTATTTGAAAAAAAAAAACTGAGAAGCTCGTCTCTTGACTGTTGTATAGTCTGTCTAATAAGAACTTGACTGAGCAAACTTGCATGTTTGAAAACTGTTATACCGAAAACTTTGAAACGAACAAATAGAAAGAGTCTTCCCCTACGACATGTTATACGAAGGTTTCGTCTAGTCATCGTCTGATTTTCGCTAAAGAATGACGTATTTAACGATGAGTATCAAAATGCAAGGTAGACCCAGGCGAGTCGGATTAATATCAGTTTTGAGACAGTTAATTTTTTGTTTCAATTGAGTACGGAGGAAGCGCACGGAAGTAACTGGCATGATAAAACAGCTCGTTTGAA